TGGGTCGATGTCATACTGAGTCTCATCCTTGTCCTCCGGAGGCTCCACTTCCACTCCCCAGGGAATCTTTTCTTTGCCATCCAAGGACCTGAAATGATTATCAAGCAGTCCTCATTTATCTTATCGCAGTCTGCATTTCCACCACCTAAGAGATTATTCACTTGCAATTTAATATAACAAAATGACACCTTACATAATGGTATCCTGGAACGCTTCATCTGGAAGTTTATTCTAAGAAAAGAGCATATATATTAAGTGACACTGACCAGTTATAAGTTAGTGACCAAACATGATCATTTATACTATAATTGTAAGGTGTAGAGTTTACAGTGTAATACGCCTACATACCCAGGGTTTATATGGCTTTGCTGTGATGCCACACATCAGAGAAACACAGACTATTAGAGAGAACCTACAAGTGAAATGAATCAGGATTAATGTCCAGTTTCAAGACGTCACAACGCAGTCCCTTTCCCAGTCAAGGCAGGAAACCATACAATCAATGCGTAATCAGGCATAATAACCAGGTTAACAGCTGCTGCAATCACAGTCAGAAACCCTCTGTAGTTGTCTTACCTGAACATGGTGTCTCTTTTTGCTGTCAGCTCAATGTCTGGGGTCTGAATAAAAAGAAAATTTCCCTTCAGTTCATCTGCTGTGGAAACGGACCACAGTCACACCAATAAACTAGTTAGATTTTTCTGACCTTTGTACCTTGTGAATACAGGAAGTCAGCTTTAAGTAACTCATCATTCCTTTATCTAGTCTGTAGTGCCACCAGCTACAGTCAGATTTTAAGTCTAATAAAGGTTAGTGTGTTGTACTGTATATACAATTATTCAGAATAATTCTGTTTATCCGTGCACTTGCTTTAACTGAGTTTTGTCTACGTTTACATATTTTATCATCTTTTATTATATTTCAGTGTGTCTAAGACCTTGACTGGATACCTGCTAAACACCAGCATGTTAATAAAGTCACTCAAAGGCCGCAAAGTAAGCACAGCCTCAAAGAGTTGCTAGAATAGTTGTAGACCTTTAGTCTTGTTTACACATACTCAGGTCTCCTTTCAAAATGAGGTCTCAGTCTCAGTTGGACTTAACCTGAATATATAAAGGTTATAATAATAATATAGCTGTAACCTTTTTCACTTTTTCAGGAACTGTGAACTAACTGAGTGTCAGTGTAGATGACACAGCAGCATTATACAGCCTCTGCTTTAATGTAACTGAGATCCAGTGATTTTATTAATATGTTAACTGGTCAATAAGTTAGTCAGCAGAAAGGTCAGTGCATATATTATATTATTCAGAGATGTGTCAATATTTGGCTTTTTTTCACAGATGCCAACAGACTCCATCCTCTGTTTAAAACAACTAATTACCCATCACATGCAGAGGACACACTGGAGGCAGATGATCAGTCTGTGACCTTAGGGTCTGGCACCACACTTACTGAAGCAACTGCTGAATGTGTTCTCTCTAATCTATGTTCATGCCTAGATCATACTGTAAAACAGCCTTGTATAAATAAATAGTTTAAATTATAACTTTTTCTGATATTCAGCCAAAACAGCAAATCTTTTACTGTGATACTATGTGTAAGTTAACATACACTGACATAAACTAACTTAGTTAATATACCTAGTATAAAATGTACAGGCCCCCAGGAATATGATTTCATTTCACCTTAGCAAATCAGTGTCTGGCCGTTCCTCCTGCAACTAACTACTGCTGTCATAGCAGCTGCGAGAACTCTTCACTACACCTGTTTTGCTGTTCATATGACAGTAGGTGAATCATTAAGTTAACAAATATATCAATAATGTCTCATGTCAACAGGATTCAACCAATGCACAGAAACACACATGCACATTTGCTTTGATCTCTCTGGATTTTACACTGACCTACATTAATCTCCTGGAGACTCATCCTAACCACTGCCTAACCCTAACCTCACCCTAACCTTAAATCAAGGTGTCATCCTAAAATTCAGTGATTTACACAGTGTAAAGAGGTTCGAGTCCCCACAGTGTCAGTAATAGCAGACACATACACTGTACAGTAGAACCGGAGCAGACAGACATGCGACACACTTCCTGCCCTGTTAAAGGGATGGCTCCACCATGTCTGCTGATTATCTGCCCTCTCTATCAGATCCATATGTACAAGTCCAGTGCTACCCCTCGACTAGCCCCACTCTCACGTCACTGAGTGGTCGGTCTACAGTCTTGCACACAAAGAGTCTGGAAAGGCTGTCTGTGAACTAATGACAGCAAAACTCTACTGGTTCATTCTGTTTTTAGCACTGTATTAATACTAAACACCTTTATAGGAATAATTTGGCTTTTGCTTTCTTGATAAGAGTTTGATGTACTAGTCTCCTGTTTGTATGTTAACTATGAAGCTTTAGGCAGCAGCGTGGAATAAAGACTGAAGAAAAATTGGGGGGGGCAGCTAGTCTGGCCCTGTGTGAAGGTGGCCTCCATAAAACTGCTAATTGTTTTTACCCTTTGGCTTTAGTGCAGATTAAATAAATGGGAAATAATATATTAATTAGTCAGATTGACAGACTGAGCTCATTACCTTTGAATAAAGCCAGTCACTTCTTTTTCTCTGGCAATTACAGTCTGTATGATACATGAAGCCAACCATCTTTAACATACAGATAATGAGAGAAATAAAGAAAAAGAACTCAGCAAGGAAGCATCCATCCATCCATCCATCCAGTTGACATTAGGCAAGAGGCGGGGTACACCCTGGACAGGTCGCCAGTCTAACACAGGGCTCCAGCAAGGAAGCGAAGTTCCCAATATGTCAATCTCTTTAAACAAGTTTGTCTTTATAAAACTAATCATAAAAATAATGCCAGATTCATATTGGTCACAAACTGCCAGTTAAACTGACAAGAAGACAGGAGATGTGAGCTATTATGGAAATGCCCCGTCAGTCTCTCAGAAACCACAACCTTGGAAGAAGTCAACCCGCAGCTCGGAGCCTTGACAGTGAGGTTTGATGGATAAAGTGTGCTGAAGCTTTCACCAATTCACCCCCTGTGTTCTGCACACATCAGTGAAACAACTTTCATGTGAGGCCCAGTAACTACCAGCACAGAATAACCACAGGTCTCTGCTCCCTAAACTTCTGATTGTCCCACAGGCTTACAGGAAAACATACTCGTCTGCGGTTTAACCAGCCTCTGGCTGGCAGAACGCTGTGACTCAGGAAATGAGTTGGTCTCCATTGGACTGAATTGAATCTCACTCCATCAAATTGATGAAGTGCTGGAAAGTTTAAAAGCAATACTAGTAGAAAAGTTGGTGCTTTTTTAGAGCAACACTCGTTCATTCAAAGACTATTTGTAACATGTCCATCTTTAATATCAAAACTTTTTAAAGGATTATTTTACCAGAGCAATTAGCTTATATGCATAGCAGCTTGTTGTTTTTACACTTATTTTTGCATACATTAAAGAAATGCAACGTGGACAGAGCCAGACTAGTTCTTTCTGTGTGTCTCCGGTTTGATTCTAAGCTAACTGGTTGCTGGCATAGCATAGATTTCACTAAACAAATATGGAATATCTGATCTAATTTTTGACATGAACTGTAAAAACGATGGACAGGTTAAGAGCTCCCTGAAGTGAAGGCACTGTGACTCGATCACCCCCTGGAGGCTGGTTGAAGTTACAGGTCATAAATCCCACCTCCTCCATGTTAGCAGAAGGGACACGAGCCACACTAAAAACTCAAAGTACAAATCAAATACATTTTTCCCAGAGGCCATATCTGTGGCTTTTGGCAGATATTATCATGCTGATGTGTGTACAAGTGGCCACTTTGTATTGACATATGGTCCACGTGTCACTACTGTTTTGTAGTTACCTTTCTTTGGAGGTGAAGCAGTTTATGTAACGTAATTATCAAGCCTGGAGGCAAAACAAGAAGCGTCTCTTCTTTCAAACTATAGCCACAGGTGATGTGATGATAATTGAATCGTTATACGTGGTGTGTACACACTGTGCTCTCACACCTCTAGAAGCCATCAGAGGTTTGGTTTGAGCTGCCAAGTACCTGAGATGCAAGTATGTTTTCCTCTTTCCATCAAACTACATATTTCCTGCTATTGAGTGCGATGCGTGAACATGTACGTATCATGTGCTTTTTAGAAAATGTAAGAGCAACAGGAAAAACTAGAACAAGTCAACAAGTACTGATTGCTGGCAATAAACTGAAGCGCACACACATACAGACACAAAAGGTTATTGCACAAAATGCAAGGAGAGAGCCAAGAATAAATTGCCTGTCTGTAACTATTTAAACGCAGCATTAAGCCATGATTTATGCACATAATTCCGGGTTAGAAAACATGCACCAAATGTTATGGCTTGCAGCAGCTGATGAGGAAAGCCAATAAAATGAATATTGCACTAAATTACCATTTTTACATGTACAGTCTTGGCTTCATTTTGTACTTGCTTCTGCTACACAATTGTTGCATGAAGTGTTTGGGTGTGTACGAGCACGAATGTGCATACGTATATAGTTTGCAGTATCGCATATTTACACAGATGCACAACGCATAGTCATATACACTAGATTAATATAACACTGCCACTGATGACAGCACTTTATTCAAACTGTAACTTCAGTACAGGATCTGAAGTTGGCTGGCTCTGCCCGAAACCCAATAACAGCTTGTTACTGCTAAGACTGTGAGGAATGCAGCCATCATGTTTCAACTTGACTTACAGTGGCATCTTTATCAAGAGTTTTCTACTGGTAAAGAAACAAATAGTATATTTAACAGGCGGCAATCGGCTGGAGACATCAGGCTCCACATTTAAACTGTATCTCTCTTTGAACTGTGATAATGAACATATTGTATGCTTAGGATGAAAACAGGAAAGTCACTCCTTCATACTAAAACAATCATCAGCACAAAAACCTCATCTCCATCATTACTATCAGTAAATCCCATAAAGGTTGTCCCAGAGCACAGGCCTGTATTTGAGGCTAACCGCTTCTCCGTCTTTATTCAGTCTTCCGTCATATCCCCCCACACTCACAATATTTTGGAAAGCTGGGGTTTTCTAAATAACTAAAATTAAGTCAATGATGTAGAATTGACTTAATTGATGCTTCACCAACACTCATTAAACACACATTAGACATCTCATGGTGGAGTTTAACTGCATAAATTACAGGGCTGAGGGAAGGACTGCCATGGAAGAGCAGGGAAGAACATGAAAAGTAGTGATGGCAGTCTGGTGAAGAGAGAGCTGTCAGACTTAGGAAGAAAGAATTAGGGAACCATCTGTTCAACAGTCACACAACAGCCACTTCTGCTTTCAACACAGCCTTTAACACGTTTTAATTGTAATGCTTAATAAAATGTCTCCTCAATATATAGCTGGCATTTTATGGGGGTAAAATGAGGGGACTGAGGCAGAGGAGGGGAGATGGACCAGGAGTCAGACAGAAAGAGGAAATTTCCTCTTTCTGTCTGACTCCATTGTTAATATAAATCTTGATTGTAGCTGCTTTAAATTTTAAATAAACAGAACTAAACAATGTAATACAAAGATATTCAGCTTTTATTAACATTTGAGCGTAGTGGTG